TCATCGTTGGCAACGCCTGGCACATGCGCAACCTCAAGTGTGAGGCCCGACAGGGCTCCAAATGAAGCAATACGTTGCAAGAACATGCAAACAGGATACACTGTAGAAAACAGTTTGTTTATGGAAGATTCCGAGCCGGTGTTGTCGCTAAGTGTGGGCAAATGAATGCAAATGCGCCCCGTGGGCAGAACTGTAGATACAAGCACTAGCAGCGCGTGTTGTGCCAGGACCTCGTACGAAGTGATGTCACGCTGAGCCTGCAAATTCATCTGCAATCCCAAATCAAGGAAGTCTTGCACCACAAAGCTTTCGGAAAACCAAAGTAGCGGGCCCGCCTTTTCCAGAAGTGCAAAACCCCCGATGCCGATGCAGTTGCCTGATGCCATGGCATCGGCTGCTATCAAGAAAGGGGCAGCCACAAGAGGTGGGCGCAATGCACGCATGCGGGGTGTGCAAATGGCCCAGCGCATCCAGAATTTCACAAACTCCGTGCTGGCGGCACTGAGTCTGCGCTTCTCAGTGCGTGGATCCGCGATGCGAAGCCAGATCCTTTTCCCTGAGGGCTGCACAAGCTTGAGATCACACTTCCGATGCAATTCCACATGCTTAGCGGACAAGAGTTTGCCCCCTATCGGAATGCCAGAGCCAGCTGGGCTGCTCACGAAGTGCATCGAGCTGTCCAGGGCGGCCGGTAGGGACTGCCACATGCCCGGATTCAAGCTGAAACTCGTTCCTAGCGGCCTGGCCAAATCGTTATACAAGGAGGACAACCAGGGTTTCAGGGCCGGAGCTATGTGCAGAATCCAGTGCAAAAGACCTATGAGGGACTCAAGTGCTTTTTTGGTGGTGTAGCGATGCTCGACCACCGCCACGCAAGCGGCAAGCAACTTTTGCAATTTTTCAGGTGGTACACTGAAAACTTGCGCACGCAGATTAAACTGCCACCCGATCCACCGGATTGAGGATCCTAATTGCAATTTGGCCCACGACAAGGGTATATTGAAGGCGGCGCAGAACGCCAGCAGCAGACTGGCCATCAATTCAATGACGGAGCTCGGCTGGACCATGAAATAGTCGTCTACGTACGACCAAAGGGCGTGTTGCAACCAGATCAATAAATGCAATGTTCGAGTGAAGAAAGAGGACACCCGTTGAAACCACAAGGCACTGAAAGTCCCCCCGAAGGGGGCTACGCGATAGAACCAGAGCTGGCCGGCGGCCTCGAAGCCTAAAAGACCCATGTTCCTCAGGCTTGATGCGCACAGTCTTATGTGCTGCCCGGATGTCGAAGGAGAAGCCGGCGAGTTCTGAAGTAGAACCCCTAGTGGCAGACTATTCATCACATCCTGTAGGCCTGGTAACGAATACTTTTCTGGGATCACGACCGAAGTGTTAGTCCCTGACACGGTAATTAGTGTCAACGATGAGCCGGGCTTTACGGCCGGACTCAGCATCGCCCCCAACAATGTTGCATTTGCCGATTGCAACTCTATCGCCCCAGCGAGCCTTAGCCGCGGCCAGGTTCGGCACCGAGAAAATCCAGCCTTCACTTTCCTCCTTCTGCACCAATTCTGCCAGCAATTCCGGCTGCTCTTCTGCCTGTTTCCAGCTACCTGTGCAAATGTGCAAATTTTCAACAAGCTCCTGCCGATCATGTTGCACTGGGATGAACACATTTGACTTAGGTATGTTAGCATCAATGCCGGTGGGGACGCCGTCCAGCAAACAGGGCCAGAGCGAAGTGTCGGGGTCATCCAGCACTGTCGCTAAGGGCTGAAGAGCAGCTAAGGCATAAGGTTGGAATTCCGGAATTTCCCAAGATACACCCTGAACACCTTGCGATGCGAACCATGCTGACGCCAGTGACCGCAGCTCTGTGATTTCAGCAGGCGTGAACAGGGGCTCCTCGGAGCCGGCAAGCACGTGCTTGCGTAGTCGAAGGGGAACATGCTTGGCCGCCAACCAGTCTGACCAGGCCTTCCTAAGGCCTTGCAGCTTGTCCTGCTGGCCCGGCGGAGGGCACGACCAATCAGGCAACGATGAGATGCCACCTCCGTCTTGATTAGCCCGCGGCAATGTGCTGTGCGATTTGGGCTGCAGCATGGTAAAGGCTTCCTGAACAGAAATTAGAGAGCCTACAGAGCCTGTGGAAAACAAGGGCCGTACAAGTGAGGCAAATCGTTGGCAAAGTTGTTGCGGGAAAACTGCAGTGCTTTGAGAGAGCCAGTGGCCCTCTGAATCCTTTGCGCCTCGCACATCAACGTGTTCAGCATAACTGTGATTGCAGGCAGCGGCCAGCGACTGCAGCGGGCGCCAAGAAGATGCAAAAAGCCAGTGTTTGTGCACAGAGACGCCCACAGAGCAGGCTGGCACCACAACCAAATCTGCTGAAATGCGTTTTAAAAACTCTTGCACTTCATGCGTAAGCCAGCTAAGAGCGTTTCGAGGCTGTTCGAAACTCACGTGGCCGCCTGCAGAGTAGACGGCATCCAGGATTGCGACGCAGCGAACAAGCAGGAGCTTGCTGCTATCGAGGCGCTTTCTTTCAGAGTCACTCAAATTAGGCAAGCCCTCCGGAAATTCAGCCGACCTGATAGGAGTTGGGCCTCCATCGGCATTCGACTTGATTCGACTGAACTCAGCACATGCCGGGCTAGCGTGAGCAAGTTGAACCAGGCCACTACCGGCCACGCGTAAGATGTTGTCAAAAACCGCATCATCCAAGAGGTTGCAAGAATCAGGATCACGGATGATATCCACCGGTAGGCAGCACACACCTTGGGACGCCAATTCCGCTGACAAAGGGCATGCAGCCCCGGAGCAAACATCAAGGAAAAGTGCGGCTGGGGCGTGCGGTAAAGGAGGCGGGGCCGGGAGCTCCACAGGATGGCTGGCCGAAGAGGCCTGAGGTGCTAGGGCAGGCGACTTCTGGGAGCCTGGCAAGGGAAAACCAAGCTCGGCGAGCTGACCGCGAGCCTCAGCAGACATAAGCTCAACACCTGGCACGGAGTATCCTGTTATAGCCCATCTGGGCCCACCCTGCCAAGGCATCGTTGCGTGAGGAATCTCACAGTTGAATGCAAAGGGCGCTTGCCGAGTGCACACGGTGTGCCGGTACCGAACTCTGCCAAAGGAGTCACGCGAAGGAACTGAGCCAGACCCCGAGAGCCACAGCTCTCCGCCTGTGAAATCTCCGAGGGAGACTGAGAAGTTCCGGGAGCCAGGCAAGTTGCCGGCATCGGAATGGACCCTCGTTTGCACCGAGCGTGCAACACAAATGGAAGTCCACTCGCCTTCGGGGAAGCACGACAGCAAGAAATGATTCAGAAAAATGCAGCTGACCTTGAAGGCGTGAGTTAAACGTGTGAGGCCGACTTGACCAGACCCAAACATTGCCCCGAAATTAAAATAGCCCGCCCGCTCACCGACCACTGATGAGCGGACGCTCTGCCTGGAAAATGAAAAGTGCTCTTGCAAGTGCTGGAGGCAGCCAGCATAATCCGGCTGAAGAGTGCGTGCAGCCGCTGCCGACCCGTCCAGAAGAGGAGCATCGGGACTGTCCGCGGCCAAGGCCACATTGTCTGCGGTAGACGCTGACTGGGCACCTACAGCAGAACCCGGGGATGGGACATGGAGCGCCTCAACTCCACCGCTGCCCGTGCAGGCTGGCGCAACCGCCTGAACCGGGCCCCCTCAATGGGGGTTTGATCTGTGGGACACAGCCGAATGCTTGCCCCCACACGCCATGCCATCCGACCTGGGCACATTGCACACATGAGCGAATCTGCAGTCCGCACGCTTGCACCCTTCCTTGGTGTTAAAATCACGGCAGATGGTGAGCACCTGACCTGAGACCTTGACTGTATCGGCACGCGAAGCCGGCGACTGCTTGCCCTTTCCAAAAGCCTTGCCCATAAAACCTTTGCCTTTGGATCGGCCTCCCTGCTTGCCTGGGAAAGGGCGCTTTCCTTGGCCCCCGTACGGTTGCGGCACCCCTGCGGGCAACGGCGGACCGGAAGCGAGGCGAGGCTGCAGGTACACATGGAGCGTCATGCGTACATCAATGATCTCGGCCACGGCATCTCCTAAATCCCAATCATGGTAGGCGTAAAGCTCGTTGATGGCCTGCCATGCTTTTTCATCTGCAGTAATGGCTTCGCTCACCGTGGGACCTCGAAAACCGGATTCAAGCTGCGGGAAGCACAACCGCAAGAACGACTGCACATAACGTTTTAAGACCGACAGGTGAGCAGCCTTGCACAAGGCCAGTGCCGTGGCGTGCATGTTCAAAATGCCTGAAACATAGCCGTACTGGAGGACATGTGGCACCTCCTTAGTCGGTACATCATCGAAAAGAAGGCTTTCCAAGCGAGGCATTTTCGACGGTCTGGACAGCTGATGGGCCTGCTCTTGCGCCACAGACAAGCGGTGCTTCCACTGTGGCCACTTCAGAGACTTATCCGAAACACCCCTGTACACGAGTGCCATCAACCTGGAACCCGGGGTTTCCTCCAGCGACAGAAGCTCCGAAGGATAAGAGGACAGGAAGTCCTCGCGCATGCCCTTCCACATAGTGGCGCTGAGCTTGGCAGGGAAAGGGTCTGCCCACGAATCGGTTTTCCCGCCTTGTGCGGGCTCCTCTGGTGATTCCTGCTTTGAAGAGGAGCTGTTGACAGAAGCGCAGGCTTTCCAGAGCATTCGAACCCTAGCCTCGACAACGAACTGATCAGCACCCACGTTTTCCACGAGACTAGCCAGGAAGCGATCCAGGCTCGCTGCATCCGTTGCCACATTAGCAAAGATCTCTGGCGTGAAATCCGCAAAGTGGTAGTGCAGCGCCTCGGGTATGTTATGCGAAGCAAGAAGGGAGTCCATCGTCGAGACCGAAGGATCTGGATCCACCGGCAAAGCACCTGCGCATTGGATGGGGACATCACAGATATGTAACCAGCTGACTTTGCCAAGATCGGTAGAACCCGAAAGCCAAAACCGCGAAACCCGGGGCCACAATGTGCCCGAAATGGATAAACCTGCAAAACTCGTACTCGGGTACCCGGAAGACCTCACAAGACCAATAATGGCAAGCCCTTGTAAGGCGAAACGGACTCAACCCTGCAGCCCCAGCTCAAAACCGCAGCCGGTGAGTCCACAACGTTGTTAGGAAGCATGCCGTAACTGGGACCTTCAGTGAGCTGGGCACGGCAGAGCTCAGCGCCCAAACCGGCCGTGAGTGAAGCCGGCACCGGCCGCACCCACATGGAACCCGCAGGCTGCAATGATGCGAAGAATGTGGCTAGCGGTACACCCGCATCTGATTGCTTGTGTGCGAGGCCTGCATCGGCCGCAAAAGCTGGGAAGGCTGCCATCGCCCCCCAGAGAGCTAATCCCTCCGCGCGCAGGTCGAGATCGCTCAGCCAAAACAAAACTTCACGACGCACCAAGTTTGCGTGCAGAGCCTCAGGCAAAATTCGCAGTTTGTTGCCAAACCCCGGGACACTCTTTTTTTCCGATGTTGTTGCATGAACTACGATGTAGAATAGGCTAAGAGCAGCTACTTGCAGAGCTGATGGAAAAGATGCCGCACACAAGCTGAAGCCGTAAGCTCGCGCCGAGCCTTTGCAAAATAGGGGCGTGCCGGCGCTACACGCACCGACACAGAATTCCCTGACACGCCTTCTTGTGTCGACAAAGCCGCGCCCCCGTTGGCACTGAGCCAACCAGCTCGAGCTCCGAAGACAGCATGCCACAGGCGGGCTTAAGCCAGAGCGACCCACAGGACACGCCTGTGCCTGAGGGAGCAGCAGAAGCAATGTGAATGATGCCCGACTTCGCACGAAGGAAACAGACCTCCTCCGCGTCGCCCAACGACTCTACGTCTGCGGGATCACCGTCGGAAGAGGAAGAATCAAAATCTTGGGCTGCAACCTGCGTCTGAGAAGGCGCCTGGGTGGGCTCAGACAAAATGTCGGCCGCTGCAACCTGAGATGCAATCATTGGCACCGCGGCTGCCTCAGGATCGTGAGCAGCACTGAAGTCCGGCAGCAACGGGAAGCAAGAGGCTGAAGACGCACACGGCTGAACACTCTGCAACTCTAGCAGTGGGAGCTGCTGAATCGGAACCTGTCCGCCACGAGCCAGCGGCGTCAGTGGAAGCCATCCTGCCTGCACCTTAGCCAAAACCACATCCTGCGCGCCCAGTGCGGGCCAAATATCGTCACGGCCGTACAATTCGGCGCTAGACCCTTTGTGATGTCCTTGCGCGAGTCGAGCCGGCCGGTCGACATTGAGGATCAGCATGGCCGACAGTAAGCAGACCTTCATCGAATGCAAAGTCAGCGAAGCGACCTCGAGGACACCTTCCGAGAGGCCAGCCGCGACAGCGGACTCACGCAAGAAGCGCAGGCACTGGGCGTAACTAAGCGGTGCGAAGGTGGCCGATTTACTGTCCCAAGAGAACCACAAGCAATCAGGACAAACTAAGTCACCAAAAGCAGCCCTCATCTCATCCCAAGCATCGGACAAGAGCTCAAGATAATGAGCCACCCATGACTGCATGACAGAGGCTTCAGCTCCGTGAACCCCGGCAACGCGAAAGCCTACCGGCATCCCTGCCCGAGAGGTCTTTGTCCTGAAGATAAGAGCGCGCACACAGGATGCCGAGAAGACGATGCTATCCCAGCGCAAGTGCTGAGAATCAGACCAGCGCAATGACCCGAAAATGCAAGAAAGTGCAGCCCCAGCAAGGAGCAAGGCAGGCACTGGCAACGTCCGGAAGATCAGCGCCTGCTCAAAGAAGCTGACCAACCTCCAAGGCAGAGGATAGGACTCACGACGCAACTTGCCCGAGCTTGCCACGTTCACCAGCGGCTTGAACAAGCCATCATAAAGATTATCCACCTGAAGGCGAAGCAGCTTTGCCAGCCAGCGCAGTGCCTTGACGGCATTAAGTTGATGGCAGTCCTGATGATCCCTTCGCAAGGAGAGTATGCAATCTACAACGGCCGATTGCGAAGCAGAGTCCCACGACAGATGCCAAAGCACCCTTAACTGATCCAAGAACTTGTGCACAACCTGAAGATATCGCAAGGCTGTGGATTCAGCCACAGTACGCAACAACCCTAGCTCCAAGTCTGCAGCGTGCACGCTGCTTTGCAAGTCCTGTAAAACAGGAGAAAATGGCAAAACCAAGGGCTTTTACCAACTCCCAAATCACAAGCACACTGGCGAACTGCTGCTGGTGGACGTGCTGTTGCAATGTGAAGCCGCCAATCTTAGCAGCCCGGCCACCGCTCGCAGAAGGTGCCTGCAGAGAATTCCTTGTACCTCGAGACGCGGAGGCAGACAATCCGGCACCTGCAGGAGATACGATCTTTGGGACGGCAGCAAGCACAGAAGGCCCATGCGTCTCACCCACACGCGGCACACGATTGTGCTTCGCATAAAAGGCTGCACGATTCTTGGCTCGTGGCACAGGCGGGCACAAACCAGGCCTACCCCCAACTGAAGGCGAGGCAACCCGGGACCTAGGGACAGGAGCAGGGGCGGGGAGGGGTCGAAAGGGACCTAGCGGGATCTTAGACCCAATACTCAACCTGTGTCTGTGGTCGACATGCGACGCCCCATCACCTAAGCCAACCATGGGCAAGGGCGCCCTTTCCTCTGATCGAGATCGCGACCTGTACCCGGAAGATTTGGGGCGAGCCTGCAAGAGCACAGGCGAAACATCTGCTGGAGTTTCTTGCACTGGCAGAGATGTCTTCCGATAGCGCTTAACCGTGCACACCGAAGGCACTGCAACCGAAGAAGTGTTAAGCGAAGCTGGAGCGATCAGATCCCAGCTAGCTGAGGAGCCTGAATTGGCGGGAGAATCCTGCAAGCCCACAGAGCTCATGTGCAACTGACCATCAGCCAGCTGCTGAACGACGGCTTGGTCTCCACCTAAATCAGAAGATTCGCAATGCAGCTTATCCAGATGCTCCAAGAAAGATGCGGAAAGCTTCCCTGCTGCCTTGGGCAGTACTTCCTCAGCGTCGATATGCACAAGCTGGTTGAGAGGCTGACCAGTGGTCCGCTCTAAAGAAGACACAGGTGTAGCCACTGACGTGCACTTGGGAGCCTGTGGAACCAAAGACGGTCCTGGAGGGTCCTGACTGCACTGAGAGGCCAAACGAATAGCCTCAAGATCGTTCACAAAGGATGTCATAACCCGCAGCACGAAGCAATCAAGGAGATGGACTCACCAAAAATTGCCTAATAAGCTGCACAAATCGCTCCAACCAAGACAACCTCGAAGCAAGTTGTTGCTGCTCGTAGAGAAAGCAGCACCTTCTTCAAGGTCACGAATACGCCCCTCCAGGTACAAAACACGATGCTGAAGCAACTCGTGAGTTTGCTGCAAGTCGCTCAAGTGAGCGGAAAGCACTTCAAAATCAGAAGTGCTCGACTCGCCGTCGCGATCCATGAAAGGAGCAGGGCCAAGCTACAGCAGACTTACAAAATTGCTGTGAAAAGGTAAAGCGTGCCATGAAAAGGAAATGCAAAGCTGAAGTAAAGCATGCATGCTATGCTGATGCTGAAAAATTTTGACCGCGAACATGTCTGCCAGATATGCTTTGCGAGCTGCGAGCAAAAGTGGCTGTAGTATTCGATATTGAAAGCAAGTTCAAAGTGCAGCAGTTAGTTTGTAAACAGGTTTGAGTAAAACACAAATACCGGAGGGGGAGGATGTGGCACTGGGGTAGCCATCCCTTCACCTGGCGCCGCAGGTTGTGACACAGGGTCATGCTTCTGCGTGACAAAATGGTTTTTGAGGCCGTGGCTTGTGCTGAACTGTACCTGTCGGTTGTGCTTCCGACAGTGTAGGCAGCATAGCCACATGGAACCTGAAACTTCCATTTGTCCCAAACCGCGAGGAATGAGCTCCAGCACGTCCTGCTCCGTAAGATCTTGGTAATGATGGGTCTCCCGGACTGTGGCCATAAGCGCCGCAAAGGAGTTATTCTGGATGCTGTCAGCCACGTACGTTTCGATCTCCTCCTGCGTAGGAGGAGGAGGAGCTGCAGTGGCAGTTGCCGTGGTCTGTGACCTAAGTGGCTGAGATGAGCTGTGCTCTTCTGGCCGATCATCGGATTGGATTTCCAGAGAGATGTTTGGGAGTTGGCTCTGCAGCATGCGATCAGTTCGCTCCTTGGTGGTGGGGTCTCCCTGAAATCCCTTCAGCCACTTCCAGCACCGGGTGTAGGCGACTGTAGTGTTGTTGGCTGTCACGAAGTAGTGGCCGTCGTTGTCGTACTTTTTGTTCTTCACTCGCCTGTCCCAGCGCTCCAGCAGCAAGTAGATGGGGCCAAACTTGGTGGAGACATTCCAGCCTGATTGGGGGGGGTGTCCAAGGTCCCGACTCAAGGTCTGCCAGAGAAATTTGCAGAAGATCATATAGTCCAGATTCGCCTTCGCAGTCAAAACCTGACGGCTGAAGGCGTGTTGTATGGCCTCCCTCATCAGAGGGTGCCTTGGCTTGCCATAGATGATGCCCTGAAAAATGTGATCTGCTTTGACTCCTATGGCCATGACCATGAACTCCTTTGGGAGTTGGCCAGGTGGGGAGGGTCTGTGACCCACTTCACCTGCCCTGGTGGCGTGAGCTGTGCTCCAATCTGCTGCCATGAGTTGCAGTACCTGTTCCCAGGGTACCACAAAGCCACATTTAATATCCACGTAAAGGCCTCCGTGCTGGTAGTGGTAAACGTAGCGGAACACATCTGCTCGATGAGCAGGCTGATTGAGGCGGTCCAGCAGATTGGAGCCATACTTCCCCGCCAGTTGCCTCAGGGTAGCTCGAAGAACCCCATCATCACAGAACTTGCGGGTGAAGCCTGCAAACATTTTGGCCGCAACTTGGGCGGGCTCCGGCTTGTCGTCGTGGACATAGGTCTGGAAGAGGAGTGCCGGGACCGGGGCTGCCTCCCACTCTGGGAGATGCATGAAGCGTATTCCCCAGGGTCCATGTCCGTATTGCATGGCCACTTCCGAGAGATCTCGGACAGTGCGGCATTGTGACAAAGCCTGGGCTGCCAGCATTTCCACATGCATGTCCTGCTGGCGAGCATTCCAGCCGGCAACCACGAGGACAGGCAATCCTGGTGTGTTGCGCATTTCCTCAATGGCTCTTGTGACAAGTGCCGGGATGACAATGTCTGCAACTTCAGGACGGAAGTGGAGATTTTTGGAGTTGTAGAGCCATTCCACCCCTCCTACTCCTGGTATCTGTGCCAAATCTATGATTTCCTGATTCGGCAGGTTTTTGTCCGCAAAGCCGTACTGGACCCTGCCGTCTATCAGATAATCGTAGTTGACTTGCTTTTCCGGGCGCAAGCTTCTTGACAATGGAATAAAGCGGACGTTGATTTGCCCGTCGAGGTGACTCTCCAGAATGGAGGCCACCGCCTGGCTCTGGACCGCCGCTTTGAACCGGAGCGGCCCAAAGAGGCCAAATTGCCAGTGGAGGAGCTCCATGATGGAGGGGACGCTGCTGGCAGAGATGTTGAGGGCGGCGCCTGGACAGCTTAAGACCTGTCCCGTCAGCAAGGGGAACACTCCGTACGTATGTCCCCGAAGCATGTGCTGCAAGGTGCTATCGCTGAGCACCAGAAAAGGCCCCAAACTGGGAGGGGCGTCCATGGTCACTGCTGGAGCTGACGGGCCAGAGTCTGTGACACGCGGCCAAAGGTGAGCTGTGCTCTTCGCTGAGTCGCAGTTTGCTTCAGAAGGTCTACCTGCTGCAGGACTTGTCAGATGTAAAGTAAGCTTAAAGTGCTTCCGTATGTTGTTGCCTGCGGTATTGGCAGTTGTGTCTGACGGCTGCGGTATGCATGCACAGCATTGCGGAGTCACATAGCCAAGCTGGAAGCTCAAGACTGCGCAGAATGCCTGATGACAAAGCAACAACAGCAAAGGGCACGCGAGCAAGGGCTGCAGGTGCCATGTCGTGTCGTCCGGGACCTCGGTTTGCAGAGGAAGCCGATAATAAGCGATTAGTGCAGCTGTAACTTGGTACAGGCATACAGCAGAAGCAGAGATTTCTCCGGCAGGTGGGCAACATAACTCGATTAGTGCAGACTAGTCGAGTGGCTGTGCCACACCTGAGCGGAGGCTGTGCCATATTCCTAGCATGAAACGCATGGACGTTGCTATGGCTCGCAAGATCTCAAGGGAGGAGACTGTAGAAGTGGTCAGAGAGATCACAGTGAACGTCTTCGTCCCTGCTGACTGTATCAGCATGCCCGCTGTGGCTGAGGGGATTGAGGATCTTCTGCACCACAACGTGATGACTGTGCTGAATGTGGATGGTGAGCTATTCGGTTGCGAGGTACCACTGGGGCGTGTCAAAGGACTGGACCATGACGTGTATGCCGAGAATCATTGCTGCCCTGGCCGTGCGAAAGGTGTTGACAAAGGGCTTGTGCTGGACCAGAGGGAGCACTGCTGTGTACCAGGCTCTGCAAACAGACGCCATAGAAATGGCCGTCAGCAAGTCTGGTTGCAGTATCGCCAGTCTGACATGAGCTCCCTGTCGGTCATAGTCCATGTCAACGTACCTTTGCACGAAGACAGCAAGGCCATCGTAAGGGCGGCGGGAGGCCCAGAGGCGTGCTTGCGCTTGGATCTCGTCCCTGAGCTGGAGAATGGGAAGAAGAGTGCTGGGGGGCTGATATGCGGCAATTTCAGTCTCCAGCAAGTCCCTATCCAAGCCACAGTCTGAGTGAAAGTCCACGATGACAGCTGCGGGAAGGATGAAGGAGAGAGCGCGGCGACATGATTCGGTGCAGAGAAAGGTTGTCATCTGCAGTGGCTCTATCTGGATGTTTGAATGCTAGCTCAGAAATGACTGCGGTAAAATTTGCTTAGCGCGGACCGGCGCTCCGGATTTGCTTTTTTTTTTTGAGAGGCGAAGCAACTCGTCTCATGGTCTGTGACCAAGGGGCTGGAGGCTGTGCCATCTGCCTAGAGAGGACTACGCAAAACAGAAGTCGGAATGAAGTCCACCTGCGCATAGTGGATGCTAAGGGCCTCTCTCGAAAGGATGCCAGCTTGATCCGGTAGAACTTCAATGAACACTCCTGCGCCTTGCTTGCGTAGATGGAGATAAGCTCTCCACACCCCAATCCAAGGTTTGCCGTCTAAGAGGCGAGCAATTTCGGAGTACCACGCACGGCAGACCGCCGCGAGCCGTATAGCTTGTAGCAGATTCAGATTGACAATGCCGAGCTGAGCATGCACTCCGTACGTTGTGATCGAGCTTGATTGTGTCGCCAATGACGGAGTACTGCGAGAAGGGGCTTGCTCTTGCCCATCTGAGGAGTAATTCCTGTAGCCGCGCACGAGTCCCACGAGCTTCGTCATACAGCAGGTCCAGGTCGTGCCAGTAGGAGTTGGGGTTGGGCGAGTCGTCGTAGGAGTCGAGGGTAAGTACCCCTGGTAGAAGATTTATCAGAGCATGGCGCAGGGAGAGCCCGTCTATGGAAGTGAGCATATCTCTTAGAGCCAGCTGACAGAAAACTGGCAGAGGCAGAGAGCGCACTGTGTAGTGAACGTTGCTCCCTTCACTCTCCCTTTCACTCTTCTACATGACTAGGAAGAAACCCGTTTTCAAACTGAGAGCACTGTTGCTGGCGGCGATATGTTAGGCTACTGATTGGCCCTGTCAGTCCTGATGCACAGTCTCATTCCCATATGCTCCGATATAGGTTAAAATCAATCGATCTATTGATTTTTAAGTCTTTTCAATCTTCTATTGAAAACAGACTTTTCGAGCTGAAAATCAATATCGGCAAAATGAGGATCTATTGATTTTAACCCACTTCCGCGATTGATTTTTCTATTGGTTCCACGCTTGATTTTTCTATTGATTTTTATGCTAGCCAAGAAAATTTCTATTGATTTTACAGGCAACCAAAAATGTCCTCTATATATATATGGCAGGTTTATAAGACAAGAAATAGATTCGGTGCCTGGAAAGGCAGGACGTTATTGTTTTGTCTGGAGAGACAAGAAATCTATAGACTCGGTGCCTGGAAAGGCAGGATGTTATTGTGCTGTCTGGAGAGACAAGTGTTGTACCCAAACCCTAACCCAGTAAAAGCGCCGAAACCCTAGACCCTGAACCTTAAGCCCTGAACCCCACACCCTGAAACCTAAGCCTTGAAA